GAGAGGTTGCTGCGACATGTGGGTTAGCTCCCTGGCCAGGGATCGAACTCATGCTTCAGTGGCTGGCGATAGCTTGATAGTGCTGAGACTTAACTCCTTGCACCACCAGGGGGCCCCTGTTTTTTTATATATCTTGAATATTAATCCCTTCCCTGTTGCATATTGTCTGAATATTTTCTCCATTCAGTAGGATGTTTTTTTTAATCTTCACATTTTTTTTCACTATGTAAAAGCTTTTTAAGTTAAGTTGAGATAATCACAACTGTGTATTTTTGCTTTTATTTCCCTTGACATAGGGTCAGTGGAGTCTCCAAAAACATCTTTATCATTGATGTCATGATATATATTTCCAGTGATTCCTTCTACATATTTTACTGTTGCAAGTCTTATGTCCAAATCTTTAATCCATTTGGAATTTATTTTTGTGTATAGAGTTAGAGAGTGATCCAACTTTATTCTTTTATGTGTGACCTTCCAGTGTCCTAGTGCCATTTATTAAGCTGTTTTCCCCATTGTATAGTTGTGATCATGAATTAGGTACTGATGTGGTGTGTGGATTTATTTCTGGGCTCTTAATTCTTTCTATTCCATTGATCTATTTTTGTGCCAATACCATAGGTTTTTCATACTGTTGCTTTGTAGTAAAGTTTGAAGTCAGGTAATTTGCTACCTGTTTTTCTCAAACTTGCTTTTTCTATTGGAGACCTTTTGTGGTTTCATAAATTTCAATTTTTTTTGAAAACTGTTGTTGATATTTTGATGGAGATTGTTTTAAATTTTATATCACTAGACAGGATGTTTATTTTGCTTTTATTGATTTTCCCCATCCATGATCATGGGATGTTTTCCATCTCCTTATCTCACCGTCTAAGTCCTTTAATAACATGAAGGTAAGGCTTTAGAAATAGCCAGTGATTTCCAAAGTTGTTCTGATCTCATATCTGCCACATGAAAATACGAAACATAAAATCCATGCACTGTTGTTGAAGCAAGAACAAAGACTCTCTGACCCCCTCCTGGAGGTACCTCTGTGGGTTTCCTTGAACCTGTAGAGCATATTGAGATTAGAAGACTGCAAGGATGAGAGTTGGTCCAGAGGCCACCTAAGCTGAAGGAGCCACTTAAGGAAAGGCTCAGTGTGAGCATCCCAAGTTCAGGGCAGGCAGGTGGCAATGGAAATGGGTGAGATTGTCTTTGTGTAGGGAAATTGGGAGTGAGTGGTCAGTGGCTGAATTGCATTCTATGTCATGGCATAAACTGCTCCCCTCCAGCTTAGCTTATGTGGAACTGTGGATCCCAATTGGACATACAGTCTCATTTTTATTTAATTAGATATGTAGATTTTTTATGTGAAAGTCTTTTTAAGAACAGCACTTAAGCCACACAAGACACCTGTAGGTCACACGCAAACTGCATGCCACCATTTTGTCACCTCTGGTGCGCCATGTGTTTGTGCAGTGAGTGGGAAGTAGGTGAAAGTCTGTTGGGGATCAGATTTGGGGTGTATTTTGACAATGCTGCTAGGGAATCTGAAATCTCCTGACTCTCGAGAATTCTTTGAGTGGGCCAGTGACTGCTCTGCCCTTTGTTTTGGGAAGATGATCTGGATGGCAGCTGATAGATAGATTTCAGCAGTCACAAGTCAAGGCAACCAAATTATTAGGTAAAACTGAGTTTACCTAATGCGTTGAGTTTAAAGCATGCTTTGCAAAAGAAAAGTGAAACAACTGTTGAGTTTGACTATTAGCCTGTTGCCCAGTCTTTGTCTATATCTTATCATGGTGTACATTCTAGTACATTCATTTTGCATCAACCATAGCAGCACAGTTGTTTTTTTTTTTTTTTAATCTTAGTAAAATATACATAACATAGCATTTACCACATTAACCATTTTTAATTGTGTGGTTCAGTGGCATTAAATACATACTCACTGTGCAACACTCACTGCCACCAATCTCCAAAGCTTTTCATTACAGACTAAAACTCTGTACCCCTGACACAATAACTCCCCATTACCCTCTACCCTCAGCCCTTACTAATCTCTATTCTACTTTGTCTCACATAAGTAGAATCTTAACAATATTTATCATTTTTGTGTGTGGTATATTTCACTTAGAGAGGGTCATGATATTATCACTTTTATTTTCATGGTTTAAGACTAGTTTATTTGAAAGATAGTGTGTGGGGCCTCCCCTGGTGGCGCAGCGGTTGAGCGCTGGGCTGCAAGGCTCAACCTGTGAGGGTCCCACATGGCGCGCAGACCTCTCCTGACGCTCTCTGTTCACCTCAGCAGTGTACTTCATAAGTCTGCCTGTTCTGTTCCTCGCTCTGGCTCTGGTGAATTCTCTCACCCTCCCGTGCTTCTGACTGTACCCAGTGCTTGCATAAGTAAATCAATAAATCTTAAAAAAAAGAAAAAGAAAGAAAGAAAAGCAGTGTGTGAAGTTAATAAATGTTTGAAAATCACTGCTACCTTCTAAATCATAACCTTTCTCAAAGTTCAGCCTTGCTTCTTGGATGGCTGTGAGGCCATTCACTTTTACGTGTTCTTGTTTGCTGCTCTGTAGAGCACTAAGCAGAGGAGCTTAATGAATGATAGATACTAAGAAATAAGACCAGTCTAATTCCTGAAATCACTCATGAATTACTTTGGTAGGATTATGGAGAAAACTGTGCTTTTTTAGAGGCCACAGCTGTGTTTGGGAGATTGTGCTGGTGCTGAGTGTATGTCTGATCGTGGCCTGGAGAAAATGTTCCTGGTTGAGTCAGGCACCCATAAGAAACTTCTCTGAGCACCTAGTTATCCCTGAAGACTCAGTATCTGAGATCTGCATACTCCTGAGGCATCAGATTCTGGCACTGCCTGCTTTCTGGTGAGGAATAAGAGTATCATTTGATTTTCATGTTTCGGATTGAAATCACTTTGTCTTTATTTTTTTTTAAAGATTTATTTATTTATTTATACAAGCACTGGGTACAGTCAGAAGTGCAGGAGGGTGAGAGAATTCACCAGAGTCAGAGCAGGGAACAGAACAGGCAGACTGATGAAATACACTGCTGAGGGGAGCAGCGGGCGACTGGAGACATCTGTGCGCCATGTGGGACCCTCGACCAGCGGCCGGGGATCGAACCAGCATTGCAGAGGCTGCAGGCAGCTTTGCAACCCAGCGCTCAACCGCTGTGCCACCAGGGAGACCCAGAAATCACTTTGTCTTAATGACAAATACAAGTGGGACATTTGTCCTTTTACCTCTTTGCTTGTTTGAATAGACTCTAAATAAAAAAATAAAATTTTTCTCAGGTTTAATGTAATTTTTTAGAAAATAGTAGTCAAGTGTCCTTTTAGAATTCTAGTGTTGGGAAATCAGGATGAATCTAGTGTGGTTATGGTATAGGTGGGAGTTTTGTTTTGCTAATGTTACTAACTTAATATACAGTGACTCTTGGGGCTCCAAGGCATGTTAGAAGTTATTAAATTCAACCTCTAAGCCTCAGTGTTCTTACCTAAGGGGCCATTAAGAAATTTCAAAATGCTATGTATAAAACATTTAGCGTTATGAACAATTTACAATAGCTATTCAGTAAAGATATCAGAATAACGACTATTAATATTGAGTGGTGTCCAAAAGAGGAGGAACAGGATGGTAAGTAAACTAAAACCAGGAAGCGGGGGTAGTTAGCACATTGGAGAAACAGTTGAGAAGGGAGGCATGGAAGGTGTCATTTTCTGGAGAACTGTCAAGTAGAATATTTGCATTTCATATGTGTCTTATTGGTGCTAAGAACAAAAATGACTGTTGGAGAGACTGTAGCTCCAAATTAATGAGACCATTCTAAGGCTTAGATTAACATTAAATTAAATGGACTGCATTGAGATATAGAGGAGATTCTCATGTTCATCAGGATAATGTTATAACTACAGTAACATTGTTAATTAGAAGTCACATCCATCCCTATTTTTCAGATGACCTTTGAAGGCAGGGTCTAGATTATTCAGTTTTTCCAGAGGCTGCCTGACATCTTCTTAGCTCTTTCTGATTTTCGGTGAATAAAGTTAAAATGTTTTCAAGCACCAGATTTGCATTTATCCTGTTATTCAATTTGTACTGAGTAATATATGCATCTTTCTTTAAAATATTTTTTTTCTTGAAAAAAATGTCTTTGCCTCATTTTTTGGGGTTCTTTATTTCATGGATTGTTGTAAAATGCTTACATTCAGTGTCAGCATATTAGTTGTAACCTTTTATTGCTATTGATATCTATAAGTACGTTAAGTAAATCTTCATTTTGCTGACCTCTTTGAGGATGCGTGGCATCAGCACATTCTCTCTTCTGTGGACAGGTGAGAGATTAGCAGGATCAAGTCGATTTTTCCCTTTTTGCTTTGTTTTCTCCAGAGCAGCAAGATTCATTGTCTGGCAAGAGGGAAACTGTGTTAAATGGCAGAATTTGTCTCCCGGTTAATGGCTTAAAGAGTGAATGTAAATTATACAGCTTGTTTGCACAGTGTCCGATCTGTACCTCTGTAAGGGAATTCTTTTGTAAAAGCTGTTTAACCAAGACAATCATTTTGACTCTGCCAGATTAATAGCACAGTAATTAATAGCATAAGAGCTTTCCATATAAAAATTGGGTTATAGATAATTTGAAACGGCAGTTTCTTCTTCCCTCCTGAGATCACTAAGACTCTTTGCTAGACCGATTTCATTTTTTAGGGAAAAGCCTTGCCATTTCCATGATAATTCCTGGGGTCATTTGCTGACTTGCAGATGATCACTGGAGGGAGGTCAGTTACAGCAATGGGTCCATGTGGCCCCAGACTAACCCAGTCTGCCCTGTGGGGTGTGTAGAGGCTGCAGGGGGCCTATGAGAGCTGGGATATGTGAGTCCTTTAAACTGTAATTATAAATCACCTCCACTGAAGGGGAGGTAGGAACATGAGGACAAATTTTTATTTTTTTTTCATCTGTTCTGATCATTTCCCCCTGTATACTTTGTAGGAAACTGGATCTCTAGAAGAATCTACAGATGAGTCTGAGGTAAGATGATGATTTAGTAGTCTTGGCATTTCTAGCTAACTGTTTTGTTGTTTTGAACGTGTTCTGCTTGCTACACGCAGCTCTCTCAGGGGCTGGGGTGGTGTGGTTGGGCTGGAGGTGATTGAGCCTTGGGGAAGAACATGCCAGTGATCTTTAGAAATATTAAATGGTTTAGCTCACAAAATAAGCAGGAAAAGGAACAAAAAGTTTTCTCCTGATCTTGTACAGTATTTTAACGAGAAGCATATTGGCAGTGGGCCATTAATGCAAATTTTTCTAATTTTGACACCTTAAATGCCTGTTTTTACAATAGCCATTATAGGTTCTGCCATATTTACTCTTTCTCCATTCTTTTAATAACTGTGACATGCTCATTGGTGTAATTTCTGAGTCATTGGAATTATGATTTATTTCATAAAATTAAAAGGGAAATAACATCTTAAAATCTGTTAGGAAGCTGTGTTAAAGATTGTATATTAATGAGAAAATAGTAATATATTACTATTTAAAAAATCTGTTTTCAAGACTATGAATAAGAAATAAGTGTAACATACTGGGGTTGGGGGACAGTGAACTATGAATGAACACTGTGGGTCTCTAGGTGAGTATGCCTTGGTGACATGCATCTGAGTAGGTGTGATCCTATGCCACTCAATCACATGCAGTGTTGTGAAACAGAGTTCCCTCAATAAAGAAAAAAGTATAATCATTTCTTGGCCTTTTGACGAAGATCAAATGAAAAAGTCTGTCTTCATAACAAAACAAAGAAATACAACAATGACACAGATTATCAACTTTATAAATGGATTAATAAGAATAATTGCATTTTTTCTTTTTAATATTTCATTTAGCTCAGGAATATCAAAAACATACATAGGATTACCTGCTGGAAATCCACACCAATGTAACCGTAGCCATTATAGTCTGTAAACTCGGGTTGGTATTGCATGTAGTTATTACATGAATTTTGTTTGCTTTTTTAGGGGCGAGTAGGCTTCAACATATTACTGCGAAGAACATTTCATATATTATACCATCATGCACTACAGCCTGGTAGTTTGACCTTACAGTTGTGGTTCCTACCATTTTCACTACTAAAGATCTCTGATCACCTCTCAGTAAATCCTAATAAGGAATTACTGAGATGTCTGTATATAGAATATAATATTTGCTGGTTTTTAAACAAAAAATGAGTGGCACAGGATCACACCTACTCAGATGCATGTCACCATGGAAAGCATTTCAAGTCACCATTCTTAGTTTTGGAAATTTGTAGTTATCTGAGGATCTCATATTCTCAGAATCACTGCAGTGTTTAGCCCTGTTCAGGAATTTCCTTATAACACAAGGAGGGTTTGGTCAGCCACCTCAATCTAAATCTTGCCACACATCCTTCAAACACTAAAGGGATCCACAAGGAGAGCATACAAAAATACACATAATGCATCCCTCCAGTGTGATTAGAAAACAGCATATTGTACACCTCACTGTAAGTAAGGAAGTAAATATCTGAAATCAGCAGAGCCAGTTCTGGGTTGATTCTAGAGCAAGAGTCAAATGGAGATTGAATGGTTGAATGGAAATGAAGGGAGTAGCTGAGAAATAGATTCAAGCTCAAGTCCCCAGACTCTAGGCTCTTTTTGTCATTTTGCCTTTTAGCTCTGGGGTCTTCTGCGAGGTCCGTGTATCAGTTATTCTTCATATTTTCTGTGTCACCCTGGAACTAGCACCCAACTCTTCTGTTCTTTAACTTTCTCATGTGGAAAATAGGGGTTATTGCTACCTGGTATGCCTAGTGTGAGGAGTTAGGTAAGATTAATGGGTTCAAAACATCTTGCATGGTGCCTACCTCATGGGAAGTACTCTGGGTACTAGTGATCTTCAGCTTGTATTTTAGATGTGGTGCTGGTGGCTTATTTTATAGTCTGGTACTACAGCCTGAGATCTTGGAGAGACTCCCCACTGGCTTTTGGAAAGTGGCTACTCTCCCAGTTTATTGTTTCCTGTGAGTTTTTGAATCAGCAAAGTAGTCAGGCTGGTGATAGCTCAGCTAAGTAATAGTTTGATTTGCAGTCCATTCTTAGGAGAGGTTTTTTTCTTGTTTTTCTCACTCAGTTTGAATACCTTCCAGTCCTAGGATTGATTTTGGTTGACATTTTTTTTTTTTCTCTCAGAACTTGAGAAATGCTGTGCCACTTCTCTCTGGCCTCTGTCATTTCAAATGAGAAATCAATTGTCAATTGAATTGGTGGTCCTCCATAAGTAATGTGTCATGTTTCCCTAGCTGCTCTCGTTTTTTTTTTTTGTTTGCTTGTTTTTTTTTTTTAGTTTTCAGAACTTTAATTATGATGTCTGTTGCCATGAATTTTTTTGATTTCTCTTATTTGGGGTGTAATCAGCTTTCTTGACTGTTAGGGTTATGTCCTTCACCAGATTTGGAAAGTTTTCAGTCATTATTTCTTTGAATACTTTTTCAGTTCTACTTTGTTCTCTTCTTCTGGGACATTGATGAATGTGAATGTTAGCCCTTTTGGATATTGTTCCATAAGTTCCTGAGACTATTCATTTTCTTTAGTCTGTTTTCACCCTGTTGTTCAGAAAGGGTAAATTCTGATGCTCTATCCTCAAGTTCATTGGTTCTGTGCTATATCATCTTCACACTACTATTGAAGGATTTCTTTCGGTAAGTGATTTCTTTTGGGTTTGTACTTTCCAGGTCTAAATTTTCCAATTTTTGAAGACTTGAGTTTCTTGAGATACTAGATTGTTTCAAGAGAATTTATATTTGCTTGCTGAAACATTTTTATAGTGGCTGCTTTAAATTCCTTGCCAGGTAATTCCAATATCTGATTCATTTTAATACATGAGAGGATAAATAATGAAGAATCATCAGTGTTTTCATGTCCACTTACAACATATCATGCATTGTGCCAAGTGTTTTATATGGATTATCTCATGTAATATTGCAGATGGAACCATCGGGGGTATATTAGGCAGGAAAAACTGATTTTACTGCAGTAATAAATGCTCTAGAATTGTAGTGACTTAATATACATAGATTTAATTCTGAATAGAATCATTAGTACAAGGAAAGCAAATTGAGGCATCAGCAATACAGAAGCAGCATCATTTTTCCCAGGGTCTTTTGTACATATGGACATGAAACAGCTCTGCATTGTGGAGGTATTTTTTTTTTTTTTAAACCCTTCTTGCTTTGAATTGGTTCTTGGTGTGTTATTTATTTAGAAGTATATTCTCCCTTTTCTTAGAAAAGTTTAGTGTGTTGTCCAAAGAACTTTGCAGTAGAAGTAGAAATAGAAGTGTCAAATTGTTAAACTAACATTTCAAGATTAAACTTGCATAGCAAATAGAAGAATGAGGGAAATCTATCAGGCTAAAGAAGGACAGCAAGGACAGATGACAGCACCTAATAGAAAGTGATATGCAGTGAGGTCTCCTTTGTACTAGGTCAGGGTTCCAGTGGCTTTTTGTTATTCCTGAATACAAATGATTTGCTTCACCAAGACTTACTCTGCCTCTAGTGTGTTCACTGAAGCCAAGATAGAATGTAAATTACCTTACATTGTGCCTGGGCTATGGCACACAGTAACAGGATACTTAATTAGTGTGACCTCTGTCTTTATAATCTTGTTGCCATTGTTTGTAAAAATGCCTCCTAAAACAGATACCCATTTGGAGCTGACTTAGTTATTGCAAATAGCACAATTAGGGGGTCTTGAATATATTGGATGTATTAATTTTAATAAAACTAAGTGGGTTAACAACTAAATCTATTTAAAATAAGCCTATATGCAATTTATGTTGAATGAGAAATGAAATTTAAGGTGAAGTACAACTTCTAGATACATCAGCCATAGTGAAAGTTCTTTTTTAGTTTTGTTAAAAGGAAACCAGTTATTGTGAGAATTTGGGAGATAACTTTTTGTAATCTGAAAATTCATCACAAAAAGTAATTTATCTTACCTGATGGGTAGAACATTGTGAATCATTTATTGAAAATTAAATTGATTCTTAACATTTATTAATTTTAATAAACAAATTTAAAGCAACCAGTAATTAAAATGATATGTCCTGTCATGAGATTGATTGCTGAGAAAACTGTGGTGCATGAGGTTATAATATTATATCCTTTCCAAATAGCCCTTGGGTTAAAAATTTGTTCTTTCACTTAATGAGCTATTAATATTAACGGGTTCTGCTGATTATGGTATCATTCAGGCATGGATAAACATTTCCTTTGAAGCATATATTATAAAAATTATATGTTTGGAAACTTAGTGGAAACTTTCTCGATGCAAATATAGATTTTTCAGTTTGTATTTTTGCCATTTGCTAGAGATTGAAAAGATAAATGTGGCTCTTTCTGGTATGATATACTTTAAAAATTTATAATTTTACTACCTAGGAGAAAAGTTAGGTTATCCAAAATGGACCAATTGATCATTTTTTCATTCAGCAAATATTTATTAAGTACTATTGTGTTCCAGATGCTAAAATACACCAGTATTTGATAGGAAGTAGACAGTACACACTGAACCATACATACCAGGTGGTAATAAATATTGTGGATTAAATAAACAAGTGTAAGAGGAATATGGATTGAGTTATACTAGGTGCTTGGGGGAGTCCTCTGATAGGATAATATAGAGTCAGTATTTCTGGGGGAAAGGTCTCATATGTAGAGGAGCAAGTATAAAATAATACCTTGAAATGGGATCATGCCATTCTTCAAAGAAATAGAACAAATATTGATGAAATTCATGTGGAGCCACAAAAAAACCTCAGCTTGCCAAAGCTCTCCTGACTAAAAAGGAGAATGGAGGTATCATACTACCAGGCTTCAAACTATACTATAAAGCCATAGTAATGAAAATAGCATGGTACTAGAACAAAAACAGACACACAGATGAATGGAATCCAAAAGAAAACCTAGAAATCTGGCCACATGTATATGGACAACTAATCTTTGACAAAGGAGC